TACACCTGGGCACAGAGCTGTTGCTTTGGTGGCACAGAAGTGAGCATGCTGTCAGGGCAGTGACAGCAAAGGTTGGGATTTTCCCAAGTGTGGGAGGTGAGAAGGAACAGGTGGAGCAAGAGAAGCTGGAGCCCCAAGCCCCGTAGGGCTTGTGTGCAAGTCAGGAGAGGAGGGCCTTGGACAGCAGAAAACAAGGAAAACTTGAAGCCTGCCAACTGTTAGTCATGTCTTTCGTTCTCTGTACTTGAGGCCACTCTGACTCCTGGGATCTACTGGCCTCCCAAGGCTGGCTGATTGCGAGGTGGCCAACACCTGGCCCTCTAATAGTACAAAGCCCCCATCTCCAGCTGCCTCCTTCCTCCAACTCCTCCAGGCAAGGGCACAGGTTTTCCCCTGCCCTAAATCTCCCTAGGACCAAGGGCTGCTGCTATTGTTTAGACTGCCCCATCCTAAACCAGCTCAGTCTTGCCTGTGTGGGTTTGCCCTCTCCATGCCGAGGACATCATAGTGAATGAAACCTCTGGGTCAGGCTTCCTCCTTGTGGTCCTCCCTCTGGCTTTGGGGCTTCCCCTGTGTGGCACAGTGTGTGCCCTCCACTTGGCAGCTGAAGCAATAAAACTTCTTCCAGTGACACTGCCCTCTCCATGTCAGTCCCTTCCATAAATTAACTCCAGGGGCCATCACTCTGATTGTAATCTAACTGCCTGCCTGTGCCTTGCTTCTTCTCGGGCCACCAACGCTCTGTTCGTTTGGGGTGTTGATTCCATTGCCTTTCAGGGAGTGCTGCTCCAGAAAGTTGGGCTAGAGTTGGGACTTTCTTGTGATTTTGTACATTTTGTTCTCAAATAAAGCTGAGTAAACACTTATTTGGCTGCCTGCTCAGTTCTCTGTCACTGCTGTCACAAGTCACCGCCTATTCACTGACCATATTAGCTTTTGGGGACTACAACAAAATACCTGTGCCAGCCTACTTTATCAAGTGCAAAGGTTTACTTAATCCATACGTTAGGAGGTTTGAGTCCAAGATCAGTTTGCCAATCCGTAGGTTTGGTGTCTGGTGAGAATGGTTGGTGGCAGCAGCAGAATGTTGACAGAGACCTGGAATCATGGACAGACTGGGCCTGAGTACACGGCTGTTAGCCCAAGGCCCCCAGCAGGATCTACCTTTCACAGGCATGTGACTCAGGATTTCCAATAGGGACCTCACCTCCTAAGATTCCCACCACTACCCAACAGCGCCACCCTGGAAACCAGGCCTTCAACATGCCAGCATTTGAGGACACACAACATGCAGACTGATCCCTCTACCCCAGCAGGGACTGAGACAAAACAACGTGCCAAAGGCCAGAAATCTGAGTTCAGGATTCTCAGGGACCAGCCTGACCAGCAGGCTGCTGGGACCACCATGGGGTTAGGCGATGGTGTTCAGCAGCAGCAATAACCACCAGAGACAATCTGATCAAGCATGTCCATTTATTGTAAAAGCAATAAAGAGGAAAGCAGAAGGGCATTTCCCAATAGTCCTCCCACTCAACAATGACTCTGAAATTGGCTAGAAGGCATGTCTATCTCTCTAGACCCTCCAGTCAAGTCACAGGTCATATACAACACACAGAGCTGACAGGTATGCCTCAGTTCATGTTCACCATGTGGCAGGCAGGTAGGCTGTGGGTCGCACTTGGCTTCTCAGAGTTGCTTATCAAGGATGTCCTAGCACAGCTCATCCAAGGACAGAGAACCTGCAGTGCAGCCCACCACTCTCACCTGTAAGAATAGTGCTCAGGCCAGAATGAGGTCTCAGTGAGCCAAGACCAATGTCAGGGTGTTCCTCCCTGGGGATACAGTGTACTGTGTCCCTGTAATCTCCCACATAGGCCAAGCAGGCAAAGATCCATGGATAATCTTCCACAAAGGGTCCAAGGAGCTGCGTTCTTTTGTGAGTACTTCCAGCTTCCAGAGGCCACCTGTGCTCCCTGAAGCTAGGGAGCCCTTCCTGCAGCTTCACATCAGCCCCATAGACACATCACATCTCTCTCTGACTCTGACCATTCCGCCTCCTGTCCATGAGAATGCTTTTGATATTGTTGAGCTCACTGGGTCATCCAGGAATGCCTTTCCTGCTCCAGGTTCTTAGCCACATCTGTGGAGTCCCTTTTGCTGTGGAAAATGACAGATTCACAGGTTTCAGGAATCAGGCTGTAGTTCCCAGGAAGTCTGTTGATCTGTCATGGTCCTTAACTGGTAGAAGCAGTCAGAAGTGGAACACATGGCTTGAGTCTCTGAGTCACCAGCTGCTGTTGCCCTGCCATAGCCCAGACTTCATGTGCGAGTGACCACTGAGATCAGCACCAATGCTTATCTACCCACACAGCTGGAGGAGGTGACCAGTCGCGCCATGGGCACAGTGTCAGCCAGTTCTGCAGTGACTTACCAAAAAGTGGGGCAGTACATTTAGCTCTGCCTTAGTTTCCTTCAAAGAAAATTAAAACTTTTCTCCCAGAGGTGTTTGGGAGTGTAACAATGATTGAAAGGGCCATGTTAGTTGCCAGAGGGCAAACTACTAAACAAGAAAGCAAATTATATCATATTTACGTAAAGGATCTACCTGCAATCCCACATTCACCCTTGAATTTTCCAGCAAGCATCGGCTAGCCACTTCCTCAGGGCTTGCCATAGCACCTGGACTTACTGAACCCCCAGACCCACCTTGTGAGCAAGGAGACACCTTGATTTTAAAATGAAAGGAGGAGCAGGGCCAAGGGAGGCCAAAGCCACTGATCATTTGCCCCAAGTCCATAACTGATAAGTGTAAAAATTAGGCCGTAAGCATCGAGTTCAGGGCTGCTGTCCCCTGCTTGGCCCTTTGTAGTACATTGCAAGGCAGCCCCTGGGAAGTCCAGGCATCCACAGTGGGGTATGAATCTAAAAAGGCAGAAAATGAAATCCTGCCACATTCCACTTCCCTCCTGACAAAGAGGTGCCCTGCTGGGTGCTGGGCAGCTTTAGCACCCCCTTCAGCAATGATTTCACCAGAAGCCCCATGGCAGGACCCTGCTGAGCGCCCACTGTCTGGGAGGCTGTCTGTGCCCACCATGGCTCCTACCTCACTCCAGACAGAACATACAGCAGGCCTTCACCCACCCTGACGTCTTAGCATCCTTAGCCAGGTGGAGTGATGTGTCTCTAGATTTTTAATCATCCCTAAAGCTTGATGTTCTCTAAAAGAGCATGTATTGTTTTTTCCTTTGAGGAAAGGGTCGGAAAATAGAACAAAGACATTTACGGTCATAAGAAAGCTGTGTAATTGAAGATGCTTGAGACCATAGGGGCCTGTGTCATGTACAGAGCCAAGTCAGACCTTTGTCTGGTACCTGGTAGTGGATGCCAGGACCTTGGAGACCAGTGACCTTAGGCTACCTCTGCTACAGCGTGAAACCCCTGAGCACCAAGCCTTGGGCACTGAGTAGAACTCAATGCTAAGAAGTAGAAAAGGGTGGGGACTTTTAGCCACAAAAGGATGCCCTGTGGCACATGGGTGATAGCGAGGAATGTGACGGATGGGTCTACTGCAGCTCAAGATTTCTTCAGAACTTAAGATGGGTCTGGGAGAGATCCCATGGAGAAGGTACAAAAGTCAGGCCCACCTGGACAAGGTAGCACACTCTCCCAGCCAAGATCCTTAATTCAGAGCTCCTTTGGCTGTGGTAGGTAACATGCTTACAGGTGCCAAGGGTCAGGACATGGCAATGTTGGGAATCAGAGGTGGGTTTGGACTCACTGAGCTGGCCTCCTGTCTGAACCAGTTTTTTTGTGCCACCCGGCAGGATGTGGATTCTCTGGCTTCCAGGTCATTGTCCTGCCAGCTTAAAGCCTTGGGCTCAACACTGCATGAGAGCAGAGACCCCTGTCATTTCCATGATTGGGATCTGCTTGTGTTGCTTCTAAGGTGACACTTAGGAGACTCTGAAGAAAGTGGAACACAGTGTGGTTCATCAAAACCCTGGTTATAATGTCCAACTTCCAAACCATAAATCAGCGGGGCATCTCTGTGTGCCAGGCCCTCACTTCTGCCTGTCAGCCACTTGTTGATGTCATCAAGAGACTGGTAATGCTAACTAGTCCTACACTGTGCTTGGTCACATGTTTGGTGAAATGCCAGCATCACAGAGGGTAGCTAATTCCCCGAGGGGCCATTGAAGCTAATGGCACTTCATATAGTGTGGTCAGTCATTGTGTGTCAACACTCAATCTGTCGGTAGACATAGCTACAGAATTGGGAGAGTTCAGTTTGAGCTGTATTTATTTTAGGGTGGCTTTTAATTTAGTTTAACCAGAATTACTCATAAATTATCAATTAATTACTGTCTGCTGTTCAGTTCAATCTTCTCAGCCATGGAGCCAGCTTTGCAATGAATGCCATCCACTGTAATTGTAGGGCACTTTGTCAACATTTAATCAGCAGTACTTATTAATATGGCATTGATATGTGGTTGCCATCCTTGCACTATCAATCACGCATGAGCAGCCAGCGCACACTCGGCCACTATTGCTCTTTGTCACATTAGCCAGCCTAAGGGCTCTTGGACCAAGCAGGATGTTCACTTGTCACTAAATGGACTGTCTCTTCATTTCAACTCAGTTTTTGTCGTTGTCGACTTAAATGCTCACTGCCTCTTGGCTTGGGTCTGGTACAGCGTGGCTGAACACGACTGTTTCACACAGTCCTGCAGATCTCTTGCTTTGCTGTTTTCACATCCAGCCTGGTGTGTGACTTGTCCGTGTTTGGGTGTCATGGTATGGAGAGCATGCACATACATACATGCGTATATAAGAGAATTTTAAATGTTTCAACATGACAGATGAGGCAGATGTGATCTTCTGGTTCTGTTAGGATTCCTGAATATTTCTGAAGGTGAATCCATTGGTTAGAGCTCTACCAACACATTACCTTGGCTCAACAAAAGAAGGTTCATGGTTTGCTTTCTCTCTCTCTCTTTCAGCCTGTACGGAAGACACATGCAGGCAAACCCAGAACCTCCAAAGAAGAATAATGACAAATCGAAAAAGATCAGCCGGAAACCCCTGGCAGCCAAGAACAAATGAAGAGTTGGCCTAGGCCAGACTTCCGGCTTCCTCCCTGGCGCCCACCTCTCCTCTGGCTCAGCCTCACATATAAATACAGTGTGTATGTAGCTTTTTCTTTCTTTTTCTCTCACTGCTTTCTAGTGCTTACCACCTTACCTTTTACATTTTTGATAGGTGGTAGATTTTTATCAAGTCTGAAAACCATTTCCCTGTGTTCCTTAAAGTGCCAAGGTGTAATTCAGCTGCAGACTCCAGGGGCTCGGGTTTCAGTTCCTTGAATAGACACCACAAGGTTGCCTTTTGTCAGAAGAAGAATTAAGATCACGTGGCCACATAAATGTCATAGTTCACACACTTTGCTCTGTCTGTTCACCCAACTTGTAAGTGTGCTTTGTCAGAGCCTCGCTTCACCGCTGGGACTTTGTGTTCATCTAAATGACAAATGATTTTTAATAAAGTCTGGAATTTGTATCACATTCACTTCTCGCCTAAAATAAGAATTCAGTCAGATCTTGGGATATACAGGATTTTTGTTTTCCTTCTCCCCCAGTTCCCTTGTCTGGTCTGATTGGCTATAGATAGAAACTGAAACTTTCCATGAAAGAAACGCAGGATCAAACCTGAGCGAGTTGCTCCTTACATCAGTTTGTCAGGGTTTTTTATTTTTTTTTCCTCCCCCTTTGAGGACTGTTTCTAAATTAGGAAGGAGAAGAACAACAAATCTCTAGGAGATTCTGCCAAAGGAATTTGGAAAGCAGCATTCCTTCACTGAAGAAATGGTGACTTCTGCCAGTGGCTGGGAGACAAGAGCTGTGAAACAGAGAGAGAAAAAAAATGCAAGTATGTTTTCTATCGCTGCAGAAAATCTGCTCATATCAAAGCATTCTTTGGAGAGACTGTGATGCCAAAATTGTGGTGGAAGCATGCACAACCCACTGCACCCCCACTGTGGAACTACAGAGTCATTAAACAGCCATTGTTTAACATCTGTGATAGGCAGTTTCCACTCTTGTCATACAGTCATATGTATGGCAATGAAAATATATCCAAGCCTTTGTGCTAAGTAAAAGGTCTGCCGACCCACAAATTCTTCCAACAAAAGGTGTGCAAAAATGCATCCTACTCCTCTGGAACTGCGAGTGACAGACCCGTGCCTCTGCCCTGGTCTTCTCCAGGTTCCCAGGGGGAGCTGTCACGATCAGACCACATATTGAGGGATCAGTATGATGGTTCAACTGGCTAATCCTCCACCTACAAGTGCCAGGATCCCATATGGGCACAGATTCATGTCCCAGCTGCTCTACTGCCATCTAGCTCCTTGCTAATGGCCTGAGAAAGCAGTGAAGGATGACCCAAAGCCTTGGGACCCTGCACCCACAGGGAACACCTGGGGGGGATCCAGCCACCTGGCTTCAGATCGACTCAGCCATGGCCATTGTGGCAGCCATTTGGGCAGTGAACCAGCATATGGAAGATCTTTCTCTCTGTTACCCATTCTCTCTGCAAATCTGCCTTTCCAATAAAAAAAAAAAAGCCAGATTTTCAAAGCTAAAATGCTGAAATTAGTTAGCCAACAGAGTCTGCCTTGCAATGGAAGAGGACACAAGGCAAGGTCTAAACTTGTGTCTTATCAGTTTCTGGTAGAATCTTGTAGAAAGAGATAATCCCAGGGTACCCTAACCAGTTTTGAGGAAAGAACTGATGTCATTTTGATAGGTGCAATGTTTGCCTTAGCCTGAATTTTTTCTCCAGCTTGTGAAATTGCAGCAGGGAGACAAATGCTTCTGTTTTTGATTGGAAGGGCTTCACCTGAAATTAAACTAGCAGGAGGGCATTAGTCCAAATTTAATGATACTAATGGCTCTTATGAGCCCATATCTCCTCAAAAGATGAATACTATAGATAGAAATATGGGCAATACACACAGATCACAAGGAGGAGCTAGCTCTAAGAAACACACACAAAGGCAGGCACAAATAATCAAAGGAAAAAATTTGAAACATGTAGCAGCGAGAAATGTGCATATATATATTTTAGGATATTAAGTACAGGAAGGCTACTGTTTTCTTACATGCTCTGTTGAGAATACTGATTTCTCTCTAGAAGGGTGGTAAAAGAGTTTGCCAATATGTAACAAAACCTGAAAATTGTGTCTTTGGACCTGGAATCTTTGTAAGAATTTGTGTAGAAGACATTATCAATAATGAACACACAGAGCTCTGTTTGAGATGTGCCTATGGGACTGTGTCCACAATGAGGACATGAGGAAAAGGCCGTCATCTGACAATGGAGTGAATGAGTTATGGCAAATCCACACAACTGACTTTTGTGAAAACATTCAAAACTACTGAACAATTAAGGCAAAAGGAGATAACTGTATCACCCACTGCGGAGAGAAAGACTTGGTCTCACTTGTGTAAACAGGACATGTTTTTATAACATATACGTGTAAAAATACTAAATGGAAATGAAACAATTTTAAGGCTGATATTTTAATTTTCTAATACTTATGCACTTTGAATTTTCTATAATGAGCATCTATACTTTTATAACCAGAAAACATTAAATATATACCCTTTCTAAATGAAATTAGCATACTTTGGTTTATGTATTCAAATTAAAAGCATAAAATCAAGGTGGCTTGGTTTTTTGTTGGTGGTGTAACTGAACTGCATCTTCTCATACATGGTTTTTGTTTACTTGATATATGGATTAGCAGAAAATTCAGAGTTCACAATGTGAACTTGAGGGCCAGTGTGGATTCCAGTATCTCATTTGAGCACCAGTTTGAGTCCGAGCTGCCCCGGTCCAGTCCAGCTCCCTGCTAATGTGATGTGCTTGGGCACCTGCCATTCATTTGGGGAATCCAGAAGGAATTCCATGCTCTTGGCTTCAGCTGGCCTCACCTTGACTGTTGGGGCCATTTTGGCAGCAAAATAAATGATGGGACATTCTCACCCTCTCTTTTTTTGGTCACTCTACCTTTCAAATAAATAAATACATTTTTAAAACACAAAGTTATCCTTGTGACAAGGATAATTTGACATTTTAAATACAACATCTGGGGGGTATGACAAACTGAGCTAGAATGTAGCATCCACTGTTGAGAGCTTGAATGGATACAGGCCAGTTGGGCTAAGCCACAGTACCAGATGGTGAGTTCCAGGACTGGGAACTGGACATGTGAATTTGGGCAGCAGCACTCAAATGGAACACAGGTATGCCTGAGAACAAGGTCATTGGCAGGCTGGCTGGGCACAGCATCCATCAGTTCTCAAGAGATATGGGACTTGGGCAAAACTAGCCAGGCAGTTAACATCCACCAATAGGTGCATTGGCTGGCACAGGTGACAAACCACACTTGACCCTGGACTGGACTGGTGCAAAAACATGCCAAGTCTGAGGTCACCTCAGTTGAGGTTTCTTGGGGTATTCCTTAACTAGACCACTGAACTCAGACCCTGGCCATGAGAAATATCACAGGATGTGTTGTCTGACCTTGGAGTGCATGTATCAGCATGGGATCGCCTCAGTTGCTGATGCCTGTGCAGTGGACAGCATGTTCAGATACACATGGGGAACTTGACAGCCAGTTCACTCAGCCCAGCAGGGGATGTCAGCTGCCTCATTAGAGGATGGAAAACAAAACAGGTTGGACAATTCTGGCAAGCTTTGCAACATGTTCTTGGGCCTGTGGATGCACTAAGGTGGACTTTGTCAACCAATAGACCTTAGAAATATTTTCTAAACTGTAAAGCAATGAAACCAACATCTTGAGAGAACTATCAAAACCATTCAACACCCTTGGACTCTTCCCCATTCTGGGGTCTCTAAAGCCTATGAAATGACTCCCCAACCCTCAGGTGCTGATGTAGTTTGTATCGTGCCCTCTGGATACAGTGGAATTAAATACAACTGAAATATTTGTCCCACCCACCTTCCATGTTTGACCCTCTCCATCCTAATCAGAGGTCCAGATAGGTATGCATCCCTTTCAACTATGTAAACAGTAGTAAAATTTTTTTTAAAAATAAAGGGCCTCTTTTTACCCTGAATATATTGTGAGGCATTAATCATTGATGTGTATTTCTCTGCAACTAAAATGTAAGAGCATATAGATTATAAACCATATACCTGTATCATAAATATGGTGTGTCTAGATATGTGGGACTGATTTTCCCATCAATGTTTAGGAGACTGTGCTCCTTAGAATTAAGCCCCATTCCTATCCATAGCATGTATAAGTATTTTTGCAGTCTTCTCTCTTACCTCATGCTCATTTGAGTGTAATCAATTTGGTAATTTGCCTTTGCTAAATTCTCCCCTTAATCTAGTCCCTCTTAATAACCATGGAATGTTTCACATCCCTGGGACTTTGTTTTTCCTCATTCTCACTTGATGGTGGTCCCCACTTTATAGGAACCTGGACTTCAGAAAGGTTAGGTAGCTTCCCCAAGGGTGCACAGCCACCAGGCTGCAAAGCAAGGCTCAAGACTGCTTTGATTCTAAAGTGGTGTCCTTTCTTCAAGCCTGTTTTGGTCTCTGCTGCCCATCAAGACTCCTTTAATCTACCCCAAAACAGCAGTCACACTTTTTATACCTCCTAAACTGCACCTCCTGAACTGAGCTCCGAAAGTGTTCATTTAGTTAACACCCAAGTCATGACATCCAGGTTAGTTAAACAAATACCTTATTTCAATCAGTGTGGGGTCTTTGGTCTCTGTTGTCTCTGTGACTCACACCTGGGCAGGTGGCCGCATCCCTCTGAGAGCTCAGTTGCACATTTGCTAAAGCACATCAGCCTCACTCCTGACAACATCCTGCCAACATCTCCCCTTTTTTCCTTCTCACCCAGAAATGCAGCTTCTCCAATGCTATCCCAACAAGGAAGTAATTCACTCCAAAGGGGACTCCCTAACACAGCCCACCCAAACAGAAGCTGTGGTGCAAAAGTAGAAGTGGCCTTGGGTTCCATTTCCCAGTAATTTTGTCCTCACATAAGCAGACCCCCTGGGCCTGCATTGTTTCCAGTGGTTCGTCAGAAGCTGAGGCGAGACCCAGTCTTACCTATCCTGGTAGATTAGCCCCTCAGCAAGCACAGAATCTAGAGAGTATGAAATATGCAGACACTGTTGCATGAATGAGCTCAGCTACCATGTGTTACTTCTAACATCTCACCATCTTCCCTAAGCATTTATACTCATGTTTCAAATGGAAAGAAATATTGAAGAGTTGAGCATCTTTTTCAAGGGTCAGGCAATACCTTTAGTAACTTGGCCAACCTAGGAATCAGGGATGAATTCATAAGCAAGGTTAGATAAGAAGTGTTTTCAGAAAAGGCTCCGAAATTGCCCATCACTGACAATTTAGGGGAAGTGTTGGTCTCTTTTGTGAAACAAGCAAATGGGAGCAGGTGGGAAGGGACGTGAACCTTTTTTTAATGCTAAAGGCCATTGGATCTTTATAACATACCACT